CGAACTTGTTCTCGCCGAGGCGTTCAGCCATCTTATCACCGACAGCAGCTGCACTCATCTTTGGATCAAGATCGTAGGTAGCAACTCGGGGCGAAGGGATCATATCGCGCACTTCTCCGGGGAAGACCTTCTCGATACCACCGTTGAAGAAGAAAGTGACGTGAGCATACTTCTCAGTCTCTGCAATATGGCACTGCTGGAGGTTCTTCTTGCCGAGCCATTCGGCCAGCACGTTACCCATATGTTGCGGGGGGAAAGCAACATTGAAGTTGTAGTCAGTTTTGTACTGGGTCATGGTGGTAAGGGAGATGTTCTTGGGGTAGGGGAAGTCCGGAAGGGGGGAACGGTCATAGTCGCCCAGCAGCTGAGTGATTTCACGGACACGATCCGAGCGGTAGTTGAAGAAGAAGAGGGTATCATCATCTATACAGGCTCAATTAGTTGTCATGGCATTTCCTTTCAGCTTGGACCAAACGCACCCTGGACACGGCGCTCCTTGCCGCCAACAATGATGGGCTTCAAGAACTCATCGTTCTCATTCTTCTCGTAGCGCTCCTTGATGGTCTGTAGCGGGTCCGAGCTGTCCTCGCCCTCGCCAGTGACCAGACCCTTGAGGCCAATCTCAACACGCTCCCAGCGCTTGTCGCGGTCCATGATATAGTAGCGGCCCACGATCGTCGCAATCACACCGACACCGATCTCCTGGGTCTTGTCAAGCACTTGCTGCAAGAACTTATCGGCGCTCTTAGGGTCGGTATCACGTCCATCGGCGAAGAAGTGGATGAAGACCTCGGGAATCTGCATGTCCTTGGCGACCTGGAGCAAGGCGAATAGGTGAGCGATGCTAGAGTGAACACCGCCATCTGAGACCAAGCCCAGAAGGTGCAGACGTCCATTGCCCTCCTTTGCGCGGGTGAAAGCCTTGACAATGCTGGGCACCTTGCCCATCTCGCCCTTCTTGAGGGTCTGGTCAATGCGAACACTGTCCTGCCAGACAACACGGCCAGCACCAATGTTCAGGTGACCGACCTCACTGTTGCCCATCAGACCCTCGGGCAGACCAACTGCCAGCGAGGAGGCTTCTAACTCGGCATAGCCTTGGGCAGTCTTGGAGTTGGGCTCAGCGAAGCCGGACATGTGTGGGGTATCGGCCGCGGCGATTGCATCTCCCTGGGGTGGGGAGTCGGGGCCTGCAATACCCCAGCCATCAATCACAACTATGAGACGTACATTAGCGGTATATCTTTTTGAGGACCTGGGTGGCAGTCGACCATACTCAAAGCAACTTTTTGGTCGGCCATAGTGGGGTTTATTATGGTGGCTGAATCACACCTAGAATTATACGACACTGGTCAATTGCTGAGCCAAGAGAAATTTGAAAGATTCACTTACCTTTAGACGGATGTTTGGAGAAGAAGAAATTGAACGTCTAACGCAGATAAAAGGCTGCCGGTGAGGGGCATGAGCCCCGACGTCACCGTCACCGGGTGCCAGGAGCGTATTTGCTGATATAATCATATGTTGCGGCTGTAGGAGCGGGTGTGTCCTCCGACTCTTCCCTAAAAACTTACCCCAGCCGGGATCTACTCGTCCTTCAGATATATATCCTCGGGATCATTCGAGTCAACATTTCCGACAATGGCTTCTCGATCCCCGCCAGTGGGTACTCCGCTGCTGAAATCCCCTGTGCCCGAGACGCCCTTTAAAGACGCGCCAACACCAGCACTACAAACAGTACCTTTTCCTTCACCACAGACCTTCGAGGTAATCCCACCATTGCATGGGATTCTTTCTCGCTTGCTCTCCTCCAAAGGTCAGCAAACCGGTTCATCAGACGCACCTGGGGATACAACAGGTGTCCCAGGAGCTTCCCAGGCACAGACCCAACAAGCACCTTCGAACATCCCCAATGGCGGGCACAATGGCAACACTACATCATCACATGCCGTACCAGAAGTATCGGTCCTCGGTTCAAGCGCTCATCCGCCGCTCGATGTGAAAAACCTCCCTACCGAAACTAGCTCTGTCAGGATTCGAATCCAGAAGGCTCGTACAGTCGTCGAAGGGCTACCAGATGTGCATCGGTCTGTCAATGACCAACAAAGAGAAATTGCAGAACTAGAGGATCGTGTGAGACGTTTGCGCTCTATCATCTCTGACTTCGGGTATCGAGCAGGGATACCACATGAGGACACTACAAGGACCTTGGAAGCATAAAGCTCAAAACCAGAGGATCTCGGGTTACAACCGGAACTCCCAAGTTACCCAGGTACTGCAGGATTTTGAGATTGATTTATTTGGCGTTTATAAGAAGGAAATACCCTGGTGTTTTTAGCGGTCATTTCAAGATAGCAAAGGCGCCATCATTTCATGAGCTGTGGCAAATCCAGCAATTCATACTCCTAGTTTCTCTTCTTTCTTTTTTTCAAGGAATTCATTATTGTTTGAACCTCCAGCCAATCTAGTTCGATTTGCCGCACCGGTTTACAAATTTTATAGCCAAAACCCTAATCCGGCCAACTGCCTCCGATATCGTTCGGTGGGTTAAAGTTCAGGGCCTGAGGCAACGGAAGATCCCTCCCCCACCACTTGCATTTATTTTTTCCCCTTCTCTTCACCTACCATCCTCCATATCAATTTTTTTCTGTTTACCTCATAAGACAGATTACCATACTCCATCATGACTTACGCTCTTTCCGAGTCCCACCGGGACGTGAGTATCACATCTGCCCTCATTTTCAGCATCTAGATCATTGACTCATCGATTATAGCAAATGCACAACTCCCTCGTGGCCAGTGATCCGGAGATTGCTGCCCTCATGGTACGTCGAAACTATACACCATTGGGACCTGCAGTGAAATGCATTGTCCCCACCAGAAAATTCGGCTGTGCTAATTCTTTTACTCGTGCAGGAGAAGGAAATCCAGCGTCAGCGTGAGTCAATCGTTCTGATTGCCTCCGAGAACTTCACTTCTCGTGCTGTCTTCGATGCCCTCGGTTCGCCCATGTGCAACAAGTACTCCGAGGGTTACCCCGGTGCTCGTTACTACGGTGGCAACCAGCACATCGACGCCATTGAGATCACCTGCCAGCAGCGTGCTCTCAAGGCATTCAACCTCGACCCCGCCAAGTGGGGCGTCAATGTCCAGTGCCTTTCTGGTAGCCCCGCCAACCTCCAGGTCTACCAGGCTCTTATGCGCCCCCATGACCGTTTGATGGGCTTGGATCTCCCCCACGGCGGTCACTTGAGCCACGGCTACCAGACCCCCACCAGAAAGATCTCTGCCGTTTCCACCTACTTCGAGACCTTCCCTTACCGTGTCGACCTTGAGACCGGTATCATTGACTATGACACTCTCGAGCGTAATGCCGAGATGTACCGCCCCAAGTGTCTGGTTGCTGGTACCTCCGCCTACTGCCGTCTGATTGACTACAAGCGCATGCGCGAGATTGCCGATAAGGTTGGCGCCTACCTCATCGTCGATATGGCTCACATCTCCGGCCTGATCGCCGCTGGTGTCATTCCCTCTCCCTTCGAGTACGCCGATGTGGTGACCACCACCACTCACAAGTCTCTCCGTGGCCCCCGTGGCGCCATGATCTTCTTCCGCAAGGGTGTCCGCAGCACCGATAAGAACGGCAAGGATATCCTTTACGACCTCGAGAACCCTATCAACTTCTCCGTCTTCCCTGGTCACCAAGGTGGTCCCCACAACCACACCATCACTGCTCTGGCCGTTGCTCTCAAGCAGGCTGACACCCCTGAGTTCAAGCAGTACCAGGAGCAGGTTATCAAGAACGCCAAGGCTCTCGAAGAGGAGTTCAAGGTTCTTGGTCATAAGCTCGTCTCGGACGGCACTGACAGCCACATGGTTCTCGTTGACCTCCGCGCCAACAACCTTGATGGAGCTCGTGTTGAGGCCGTTCTTGAGCAGATCAACATTGCCTGTAACAAGAACTCCATCCCTGGTGACAAGTCAGCCCTCACTCCTTGCGGTATTCGCATTGGTGCTCCCGCCATGACTTCCCGTGGTATGGGTGAGGAGGACTTCAAGCGCATTGCCCGCTACATTGATCAGTCTATCACCCTCTGCAAGAAGATCCAGAGTGAGCTTCCCAAGGATGCCAACAAGCTCAAGGACTTCAAGGCCAAGGTTGCCGATGAGAGCGTTCCTGAGATCCTTGCTCTTCGCAAGGATATCTCTCAGTGGGCCAGCACCTTCCCTCTCCCCGTTTAAATGGGATATTGAGGACAGAGTATGAGTTACGGAAAAAATAAAGAGGGATCTGAATCAGGATCCCACGAGTTCAACATCATTTCGTATAACAAAAGAAAAATACACGGGTGCGTTTTTAGGGGTTAATTACCGGTCTGCTTTTTCAACCTGACGCGGGTCATTGGGATATGGGAATGCTTTTTTGCATGTGAAACGAGCAATTGTTATTTTTTTCGGCGGATGGGCCTCGCACTTATTCAACAGCGGGCTCACATGAATTTCTGAGGGGGAAAAAGTTCAACATTAATTGGGCGTCCTATGTACATTCTACAATCTGTTCTCAACACAAGGATCTCTAGAATCCAAGGATTATTTTCTTCTCTGCTTTATCCTTCCAAGGTTCCTGATACGGTCCTATTATCTATACATGTAAGAATAAGTCGTGTGAACCTTCTCTGGTTAGTTTTGCCCGACTTTGAACCCTATACTTGGCGCGCGATACGGCCGTTGAAAGCACATAAACATTGTAGCGGCGCAGTGCCGTTATTGGCTTGTCCTGGTTCAAATATTAGATAAAAAGACTTTCGAAAAGTCTACCACAAAAGACATTACTCGGCCGCTAATGCGGCCGAATATTCTTGTTCCTCATATTTAGATGGAGAAAGAGCGAACCGCTACGGATGTATGGATCTAGTAAATATTCATGCCTCAACGGAAACATCTCCGTGCGAATTCATTGTTAAAGATCCCTACTCCAACTATCCTCTGAAGTTTTGACTGTATCATGCTATCAGTTCTCCCAGGCGCGTGAAAAGCTCAACTTCCATCCGCTCAGCCACATCTGGCTGGCTGAGAATTTCGCCCATCGAGTCTTCTCCAAGATCCTCCTCCCATACTGTCTGCGGCTCGGCATTGGTCTTCAGGTTGTTGTACAGGCACATCCGCAGGTGCCAACGAAGGAGGTCGGCGCTCACACGCCAGGTTCCACTCCGAGCAGAGTCTCTGAGGCGAGTACCGCCTATTCCTGTATGATCCGGTCCGAATACGATGATCTTGTAGTTAGCCTATGTTCACAACCATTAGTATATACCGACAAAATATCGTATACGAAGAGTCTCACATCTGGGTCAATCCCCAGTTCGAAACTATCAAATAGGGAGTGGATATCTGCGCTGAGGAGGAGCCCATTCTGAGCAGAGTATATACGCGACTGCCCAATCTCGGTCGAGGGGAGAGGGTCCGTGATATACTGCTGGTATCCATCTCGTCTCCACTCTTGTATACTGCTCACAGGGAACACATGTGTAGCATCGAGACCGCGGAAAGGGTCTTTAAAGCTGCTTGCCCTATTCTGCCCAGTGATTGCACAGCAACCGTCTCTTTGGCGGAGGCTATTCCGGAATTTCGTTTGCTATAGATATGATTAGCACTGGCTGTGTATGTTTTTGGTCATTTCTGCGTCTACTTTACCAGACGACTCCATTCACTCCGGCCCTGGGATTGGAAATCGGTGTCTTGAGTTCCGGTATCTTGAGTTCTGACACGGCGGGGCGCATAGTTGGTTGTCAGCTCGATGGTAATTGGTGCCCTAGCTATACGATTGTCAACCTTGGAAACCCTAGTTATACTAGACGTATCAAACACACTTAAATCCAAAACCATATAGTTACCAGGCGCCACCGAAATCCCACTGTTAAGCTGGAGTGCAGTGGTACCTGGTGTGTTGTTGGCTCCTAACTTATAATTTTGCCTCGCTTCGCTCAGCAAAATAAAATGCCCACTCGCTTGGGTCAGGAAAGACGAGTGTGAATGAACAGTATCGATAGAGCATCTTGGGAGAGATATATCGATCTTGTTGGGCAGTTGGGATTGCCAGGGCTATAACAAGGCTGTATTAGTCGCACTGGTTCCTATGAGGCTATCGTGTCTTACCGGCAAGAAGAGCGCCATTGCTATCATAAACCAGGAGGTTTAATTGCGGGTACCTTGGTGGTTGAAGAACAAGAACTGGCATAGCTGCTGCCATATTTGAGCTGATGAATATAGAAACATAGAAGGCGACTATACTCCCCAATTAGGTTAGCTTGGCTCTGATGTCATCCGTAAATTCCTCAGGTGTCGATGTATAAAATACAAGTCAGCCAAGCACTCCATAGGCTTGTGTTCCCATCTTTTTTGGCATCTGACCTCGATATCGGGTTTATATCAGGATCGGAAACCGTGGGCTTACCATTGGAAGGGGTTGGGAATTGCCTCTTCCGAGTGTTTGTCTCGGCATAAGCTAAGGATGGAATAGTCAGAATAAATGAAATGTAAGTGAGAAGGAAGTGGGAGATACCAATGGACTGTACCGGGGTTGCACTGGCAGGAAAAACGAAGTATATTGTACAATGTGGGGGGCCGTACATTTAGACGTCCACGTGAGCTCCGGATAACTCAACCTTGGAAGGTTCCTCGTTTTCTCTCTCTATTCCTCTCTCTCGGTCTCCCGAGATTTTGTTTTTGCTCTTTTCTTTTCTCTTCTCTTGCCCTTTAACTCTCGTTACTGCACTGCTTTACACTCCCTACGGCCTTCCTCTAAATTTGGCCCCTCATTAGAGTTCCAGGCTCCATCGATAAGGACGCAATATCTTATCGCTCCGGTCCCTCACGGAGGGCATATACTTAGATCAATCTGTGTTTGATTGAAAACCGGAAACAGTGCAGTACATCTTGAAGAAGTCACCGGCGAACCAAGAGAGAACAGGACCTTGCCCGACATGGCGAATACCGCCCAATGCTACTATTGCTTTGAGTCTCTCCTCGCTTCATTCGAGGATCGCGAGCCCACCACTTTGGCAGCCGTAGAGGCTCTATGGGAACAGCACGAGCAAACTAAGAAGTTGTCGAGTCTTGAAGAGCAAACTGAAGAGGAAGATACAGGCCGTCAGCAATCCGTAAATGAACTAGACGAAGATGACGATAGCCACCAATCGTCCCAGTCAAGTAGTCAACCCACGAAGATGAAACTCCGCAGCATCAGTCGTCTTCAGAGCCAATTCTCTACCTCTTCCAGCATAGCCACATCTTCGTCGGCCGCATCCAATACATCTTCCATCTCACTACAGTCGAGCTCAACCAATATCACCACGCCAAGTGTGGTTTCCGAGACCCCCCAGCTGAGATCGCCTGATCAGCGATATCCCCTGTTCGTGACATGGAACACCCTATCACGAAGCGGACACAAGTCTCTACGCGGGTGCATAGGCACATTTGAGGCACAGGAACTTGCAGCGGGGTTGAAGTCCTACGCTTTGACCTCGTACGTGTGTTCCTATTGAATACCCCTCTCTCACTACAACGCTACAAGCAACGGTACACCCCTATCTATAGATCGGACTGACTCACATGCGATTTTGTTTTAGGGCCTTCGATGATACGCGTTTTGAACCCATTCCCAAATCCCTCCTCCCCTCACTATCATGCTCTCTTACCCTCCTTGGGTCCTTCGAGCCGTGTACAGATGCCATGGACTGGTCTCTAGGCACTCATGGGCTGCGGATCTCCTTCATCCACCGCGGCCGTCGCTATGGTGCCACGTATCTCCCTGACGTCGCTGTCGAGCAGGGCTGGACCAAAGAAGAAACCGTGGAGAGCTTGATGCGCAAGGCAGGCTGGGATGGTGGTAGCAGCAGTACTGCACGGAGACTGCTACGCGGTGCAGCTGATGGGAACTCCAGCGCCACTAAGCCTTGGGACCAGGTCTCGGATTTCCGTACTGTGAGATATCAGGGCCTCAAGGCAAGCGCTAGTTATTCAGAATGGCAGGAATGGCGAGAGTGGGTTCTCTCCCTAGATGACGGGGAGGAAATCCTGGAAGGCGCGGATTAGACCGCTTTTCTTCTTGTCCCACATCTCAATGCTCCAATTGGGACTGATGATTATAATAACCAAGATGATACGCTTCTTTCATGGGTTTTTGATGAACAACTTTTCTGTCTGGGTGTTAATAAGGAATGACAATGGTCCGAGAATTCACGGTTGTGATGAGAATTTGATATGGTATCTCAGCTCTATAAAGATAGACAAGTATTTTAAACCGAGACTTATCCGAGACTTATTGATTATAAACACTGGCATCATTCATTGTATTGATAATAATGTGATATTGCAGACATTGCAAAGGAACCCAAGCGAAGGAAAAGCCTCAGACCATAGAAGAGCAGCCAGTGATGTTCTAAATCCGAATCCGAACATCCCTACAGCAGAAACACGGCATTGACAAAAGCCGATACATATCCATGCATTCTACCGAGGGGTACGGCTCCACAAACCAGCAACCATCTCCTTGACTCTTCGCTCCTGGGCCCGGATCTGCTCCTCAGTCTGCCCACGCGCATTACCACGGCTATCAATCTGCATCTGAGCCCCGCGAGCATTGGCCGGTGCAGGCGGAGGAGCATGGTGCTCCTCCTCGGTGATATCATCACCATTGACACGCTCAGGCTTGGGATCAACGCTCAAAACGCCGTCCATCATGAAGCCACCGCCCTCGCGGAGCTTATTGATAGCACGCACGGTGTCGATAGCACGGTGCAGCGTGCGGCGCGCGTTGAAGTTCTTCTTGACCGTTGGCAGCAAATCTTCGCCCGAGCCGACCTTGCCGCTGTCGGATGCCTGGTTGACCCAAGGGTGCTGGAGAGCTTCGTGGGCTGTCATCCGTGACTGCGGGTTGACTGTCAGGCAGCTGTTGATAAAGTTGCGCGCTTCCTGCGATACACCGCGCCAGTACTCAACCGGCGTGAAGGAGTAGTCTGCTGCTAAGATTGCTTGCATCTCTTCGAGATTGGAATCCCGGTCGAAGGGTGTGTATCCACAAAGCAAGAAGTAGGTGATCACGCCGATGGCCCAGATATCGCTGGAAGGGGATGGCTGTTAGTAAAAAGATAAAGAGATCGTAATGTGATGACTTACACTGGCTTGCCATGGCCGCTCTTTTTGAAGATCTCTGGTGCCATGTATCCTGGCGTTCCGCAGGTTGTGGTCAGGACATGGAACTGCTCCTCGTCCATGATCCTCGACAATCCGAAATCGGCAATCAATAGATCGGCGTTGTCTTCTGGCGTGCGGAAAAGTAGGTTTTCCGGCTTTAGATCACGGTGCACGATCCCGTGGTCATGCAGATAGGCCACGGCAGAGAGCACTGCGCGGACAAGGTCTGCAGCGTCAGACTCATAGTAGCTACCTTTGCGACAGATGCGGTCGAATAGTTCCCCGCCCAGCGCGAGATCAGTGACAAGATATACTAGAGAGCATCACTCGTTAGTGAGGGTGTGGCTGGAGCTATCATGAAAACACACAATTATTCATCGTCTCGAAGTAGTCGACCAGCGTGAGGATGTTCTGGTGGCCCAGTGACACCTTCTTCAATACCGCGATCTCATTCCGGACCTGTATATATCGGAAGACGTCAGTCCATACTCTTGTCTTCGTAGTCGTAGTTCTACCGGCATACACACCATATGCTCCCGCCCAGACATGAGACGTTTGTTGATGACCTTCGCCGCATAATAGCGACCGGTATCGATGTGCACACATTCCTTCACAACAGAGTACGAACCAGCGCCCAGTGTCTTCCCTGTCTTGTATCGGCACGGTTGGACCTTCGGCTTCTGGCCGCTCGGGGGTTGTGCCGCCATTGCAAATAAAACCAAGTGCGGGATGTGCGACGCGAATTGTGGGGGGATGGAGAAGTTGTGCGATGCAAAGCGCGAGTGAAGGATTGAGCGCAGTGGTAAAGGAGTTCGACTCGGTGATGCGCTATATATATGCCTGTCCTTATGTACCTGCGCAATCCAAAGTCAGCCTTGCTGGAAAGTGGCGCAGGAGTCCAGTGCGAAGACCTAAGGTGAGAGTGCACAGAAAGTTACTCACAGTTGGGCAACAAAGGCTGATTACAGCTATGTATATGGGCTTATGGTATCCTCGGCGGTCTTATGATGTTTTCCGAGGGGCTGCGGGGGTTTGAAGTCGAAGATGGGGAATCCAGTTGGCGGGGCGGCTGCTGAAACGTCAGATCCAACTATTAAACAACTTAACTCCAACAGCGTTGGCAGTTGGAATAGAAAAATTGAAAAGAATAGAAAGTTGGATTAAAGGCCGAGATAAATATCAACGGCGCGATTATAGGAGAGGGCATTTCTGCCCAGTTGGCTATTTACATTTCCCCAACACCAGCCCAATGCAAAACAAAGAAAACTCATAGAAAATGGTACATTCAAAATCGTTCCAGCACTTCCTCGACAATGTGCTCCAATAGTTGTAGCTTGTGGAATTTGGCTACACTCTCCAACACTTGTAGTTTCTTCTCGATCTCCTTCCGATCAACTGTCGCAGTCCATGTACCACTGCAAGAACAGTGCTCCATGAAATCACTGATCTTAGGATTATTGCACTTCGAGCACTTGATATCCTGCGTCTGCCATTCAACAACAAACCCATGGACTTGGCCAATGAGAAATTCTTCAGTTGCCAATCGGTCGTACTCGGCGTGACAGAAAGGGCATCGCCAGGGCTGGGCAGATTTGCTGGCGTCTGAGCTGGCATCAGGCAAAACATCTTCGTCGCGACAGAGGTCGAGATCCCGAATAAGGCAGCACGAGTTGCAGGACATTTCCGGCAGCTTCAAGCTACCACTAGGGTTCTCGAATCGGCCCTCCTTGCTGAATTCTCGGACCTCGAAAAGGGCAAGAAGCTCGCGCCGCAGCAACCGGGATTCCAGGGTTGTTGTCTTGGACAAACTCAGAACCTGCATCAGCAGTTTGGTCAACTCCAAGGATGGGTTGCGTTTGTCCTTGCGGCCGACTAGAACTCCTGGCAAAACGGGGAAGGCATAGTCGGATGCAAGCTCAGGGTGGAGCATCTCATCGCGTTGTCTGCGGATCAACCCCGAGATTTGCTTCTTCAATGGCTTTGAGAATCGATCAGAGAGAATTGCAGTGATCTCCTCATCGTCTGCTTCGTTGGCCCGTCCAATGGGAATCTGTGTTGGCCGAGGAGTTGACAGATCCCCGTCTTCGAGTTCCGGCCGTTTCAGGCCGTGCATCAGCTCGATGTACTCGACAATCCAGTCATGGAAGATAGTCTGCATGGGCATTGGCAGGAACCGGCTAAGCTGCCAGTGCATCGCTGTCTCGAGGTCCTGTTCGTCGGCCTCAGTGACCTCTCGACAGCCCTTGCCTCCGTAGTTGTATTCATCATACCAAACGAGATAGTCCCAGTACTCCTTGATCTCTAGATCGATAAAGTGGAATGAAGGGTTAGCGCGGATTGACTTGAGGACATACTGGCTGTAGGCGTAGGCGTTGCCAACCTCGGTCTTGGTCGTTTGGAGAAGGAGGCGTGTAGGGCTAGCAAAGATGACATGAGAGCCAACACGTCTGAACTCTGCCATCAATCTCTGGAATGACCTCCGTGACAGTAATCGCACGTAATTGTGTAGAGACCTGTCATAGAGACAGGACACAGGGCTTTCCACCCATCGAATCAGATGCTGAACCATAATATCGGCCATGCTGTTGCCTGCACAGGCCTCTGTCCACCAATGTTTGACCATCTCTCGAAGAACGACAACGCCGGCAGAGGCAAATGCTTTCTCTGAATAGAAAACACCAGTATCTTCACCGTCTCCAGAAGGAGCAAGTAGCGTATCACTGCCGTCCATTTCGTTGATGATAGAGGATGTCAGAATCGTATTGATCGACAAATTGCGAACCTCGAGTTCAATGCACACTGTGGAGTAAGCACCTGGTACATTGACAGATGGCATATTGACCTTATCCAAGGCACCTAGGATGTCATCCCTTTCATAGCCCGCGTGATCAGGACGCGGGCCTGATGACCACCAGAGCACCACATTTTTTTGTTGTAGCCGTCTGGCGTACGAGATATCGATGAGGTATCGAGGATCCTCACTTTCCAGGTTGCAAAGCGGAACATCGCCGAACCGAGCGAGCATGGTCAAGTGCTGGATCCAAGAAGACAAGTATAAATAGCGCGTGACTAGACGTCTTGCAACGAATGCCTGCCAGCCAAGTGGGGGAAGTTCCATATCCGAAGCTTCGGGCTTCACAGATAATACTGGATACTCCTTCAGGATCGGAATGTCGTGACACAGGCGGTCTTTTTGTTGGGATTGAATGACAAGAACGGCAGGCTGACTCTCATCATTTCGAATTTTTCTGATCAGATCACCGACCTCAAGGTGAGCCTTCCTGCGCGTCATCACCTGTGTAGTTTTGAAATGAATATTGTCCTGGTAGTCGAACGCATGCTGCGATTCATCGCCTGATGCAGCCTGTATCTTACGTGTGAGAAGCTCGGTGTAGATTTTATCAACGTTGGGAAGACCCTGGACATCCCTCGTGCGGTTGAGAACGATAATATGCGCCTCATTCTTGGCGGTCGAGAATATCGCGAAGACTTGTCTATCCCCAGAGACAATGTGATACAGGTAGTGGAACACTAATGACGAGTCCATCAGATAGGGCTGCTCGGAAGATGTGTGAAGTAATGTCGAAAGGTCGAAGCCCTTGTCCAAGCCGTCACCTAGGACACCGCGTTGCTCTTCATCGAAGGTACAATGGCTTCCTAACTTGAGCACTGCTCGAGTGCTTAGCGGGATGTCTCCCTCGTAAACACCCTCAACGCTAGGGTGCTGGAAGAGAATATCCATCTTGTCGGCTTCTGCTAGATAATTCTCTTCTGACAAAGACAGCTTGAACAAGTAAACAGAGGGATGCCCGTTCGGTAGGGTATGGTTGACCTTCTCGACTTCGCAGTCTGGAACTTCAATGTCCGGCAAAGAGTCCCGTTTCAAGTTCAAGAAAAATTGCCGTGGAACTCTGACACTGAGGGCATGGATCTTTTGGTCAATCAACACAAAAGCTCGCACAACTCCCGGAACGCCCGTCTCGCAAAGCTGCAGAACCTGCCATGTGCTGATGTACAGCATTTGGGCTTGATTGCGGAAGAAATTACTCAAAGAGTCTGAAGCAACGTTGCTTCGTTCGCCAAACAGCTGACGACGGCGAACCCGTGCTTGTTTTTGGATCTTCCATTTTTGCTTCTGATACTTGAGAAATCCTTCGTAGTTTTCAGACATCGATGGCATAACTGCTGGCAGGCTAGCGAAGGGGTCAAGAGCTGCATTTGAAGCATTTTCTGGGTGCTTTCTCTTCTGGGCGACCTTGGTGGGCGTTTTGGATTTTTGAGTCGAGCTCGCGATTGCTTCATCTAGATCGCCAGCATACTGAACGCGATGGTCAAGTATATTTGCATTCGTCGACGAAAGTGGCGTCTTCTCGGACTTGCTGAATAGATCAGTCATCTTCTTTTGCTTGAACCTGTCATCCTTCGTGTTGATCCGACGTTGCAACCAATCAGGGTGGGCAACCCGGGGCACTGGATTTCGAAGCTTCTGAAGCGCAGCCGGAATGGTAATCAACTTCTGGATCACGGATCCCAAACGCTCTAGGTAATAGTCCCAATCGATAACCGTTCGAGGATCCATATCGCCGGGGTCTTCTTTTAGCCATTTTCGCAAGAAGAATCGCTTGATGTTCTCTTCAGCTGAAAATATAGCGACAGGAATGGCTCTTTCAGTGACAGGTGTATTCCGTGGGCGTGATGAGATGATGTATTTGCAGTTGAGACCTTTGTCCTTTACCATCTGTTCACCCAAGAACTCTGCCAGGCGTTTTGCCGTCGTGATGGATGTGGACTTTTGGGAACCGTACTCTTCCAAGGTCTTGGACATGCTTCGGTTTTCCGAAATGAGATCGATCAACTCTTCATCGGCCAATGTCGTTCCGTGTTCGTATAAAACATCTAACCACCGGTCCGCAACTCGAGCCACAGCGGCGTAGGTCTCGGCAAGATTAGAGCCCTCTAGGAAGAATTTGAAGAGCTGGGTCTGGAAGATCTTAATCAACTTTAGCTCTCCTCTTCGTTTAACTTCGAATCCCTTGAGTTCAGCTAAAGAACCATCGTGATTGAAGACTGCATATCGTTTCTTCAGGTTCTTGTCTTCCTCCTTCGATGTTGGTAAAATCATTGCCCGGTACGGTCCATCCACTTCGAAGAAGATTGAATTTTCACTGTGAGTCTCGTACTTGAAAGATTTCGGGTCGACAAGTGCCTGGTACTGGTGATTGGTGTATCTTGCATGGACGAGGTGGTTGAGCATGACACAAGGGTATGAGATACCCAATTTCTTCCCGTTCTTCAGAGTGAAGGAGAAGTTATCTGGGAACCCTCCCGGAAGCATACACCAAATACCATCAGTATCCAATTCCAGGGGACGACCGATGCGTTCGACAAGCTCTCTTGCCATCTGAATGATGTGAGCGCCTGTCAGACAAGTGACACCAGCCATTTCCATGGAATACCACCGAGAGCCCTTTCGCATCACATATCCGTAGAAACTATTGAGAATGACCTTGTGCGCAAGCTGAAGAGAATCGTACAGAATGATCATCTTCTTCGCTTGCTCGATCTCAGCGGCTGAGCCGCCCGACGACTGCAAACTATCGGCTTTGTTTTTCCAGGATTTTTGCTTGCCCTTGAAATCATATCGTCGGTCACGGAAATCTCTGACAGTATCGACATAGAATGGATTTTCTCTTTGGCAAATGATGGCCTCTCGCTCCATTGTCTTGCTATCGTGAATCTTGTGGTAAATCTTCTTGCTGTAATCCTGCAGCCGTTTCTTGACCACTCCAGCCTGCTCTTCGATGCTCAATTCACCGAAGGACCTCATTGGGGAGTTCGGGTACCGGCCTGGGAAACGTTCATTTGCTGTGGCACGTCGGATCATGTTATATTCATCACGTTTGGCAGGCAAGAATTCACCTCGCCATGCCCAAGGCATGCGTCTATCGCAGGTTTTTCCGGGTCGGTTGAAGTCGCAGGCGGCACAATTCGACTCATCAATCAACGAGTCTGGTTGCAATCGGTTGGTGATCATGATGTTGGGATACATGGAGGCGACGTCTAAATGGTAAATGAAAGGCACTTCGTTCCGGACTGGATTTTTCTTGAGATCGAGCAAACGCTCCACGATTTGCGCCCTGACCTCATCATAGTTCACAACATCGTCCATGCTTTTTTTCTCTTCAACCTCGATACTGAATTTGAGGGCGTGATCGAGATCCTCGAGAAGCTCATCAATCGCAGTAGGATCAACGGTAAAATGTGTAGGGATATCACTTCGGAAGACACCAGCTTCAATACTTTCGACATGGCCGCCGACGTAGGTCTCTGACTCAAGGAGATGACCTTCATAAAAAGCTTCTGGGGGATTCTTGTGTTTGTTGGGCAAGACAATCTCATGCTGGTAGGCTTGAACCATGAGAAGCATCTCACACAAAGTTCCAGTTCCCTTCCGCAACGTTTCGTCGGCGCTAAGGGGAATGATCGTGCAGAGCGAGAAGATGAATGGGTGGACATATTTCATGTATAGATAATAGGTTGCGACAGCATCGGAAACCGAGTACTCAGCTAGGGTCTGTGGCCTTTCACTCGCATACGGTGTCATAAGCTCTGGGTCGAGTTCATCCGGGTCGTAACCAAGCTTTGCGACAGTCACGGCTTTCAAACCACGACTTCCCTGAGGGAGGTAACTGTCACGGTTGACCCAGGCGAAACAGTCCATATGCACACAGTTGTCAGCTTGGTAGATGTCCTCGCTGTTTTTCCGGAAGCCGATCTCCATATACATGTCAAGTCCCAGAATACTGGCTCTTGTCTCCACAAATGGCCAATCGAAGAAGTCACCGTTGTATGTCGCGATAACGGTAGGCTTGGAAATTTTGATATGCTCGAAAAATCGTTCAAGAACTCCTTTTTCATTGGGTTCATTGAAGATGATGAAAGGTCCATTGTACTCTGGTTTGGGAGTATATTCGAAGTCATGAATGTCCTCAGACACAATCTCTCTGTTGGTAATTAAGAACCCTTGCCCATCAATCATGTATGAAATCATCATAATCTGGTCCATTGTGGCGTCGGGAAATTTCAGTGGTAACTTGGTACACTCGATATCAAAAGCGAGAACGACAGGATCGGCACGTTGAAGCCGATCTTCCAGGCAGGTCAGCGATATCACGCCATGATCTGCTTCCACATTGTACCACTTTCCAATCCGAATATCTGCGATGTGTCAGCGACAAGGCCTCACCGAGAGTCACGGAAAATACTGACCTTTGTCAATGCAGACCCGGACATGGTATGGCACGTCGTATTCTCGAATATCAACAATAAAATCACTCGCTTGTAGGTTGCCATTAGGTCGTTGCTCATTAATTATTTCGTCGTCAAAAAGGTCGATGCCAGCAGTCGCACTATCTATCAATTAGTTCAATGTTAAGATCGAAACACGTAACACAGAACAAACCTGGTCATTTCAACGTATGCGTCCATCGCACTCTCATTTTTCTTGTTCTTCTCTGCAAGAGGAAGAATGGTCCTCCTAACCTCTAAAAGGTTGCTCACGTTGGCGAAGCTGAGCTTCATGTAGGTCTTTCGGTAGCCGAGAAGGTGATTTGGGAGGTTGAGATCTTCTTTCTCAAGTCGCTTGAATTTTTTGACCATGCCGTCAAAGGTTCGGCGACACCATTCTTCTACCTCCATCTCGTAGCCTTTCTTGACTGCGATCAAGAAATAAGGATCATATTCCACGGTAGCTTTGAAACTTCCTCCGTCGTCCTGCAGAAAATAATAATCCACACCGGCACGACCTCCAGGCACTTCTGAATCCTCAATCGATGTGCTGTGCATGTTGACCAACCAGCCGGCTCTTGTCTCGCCAGACTCGAATCGAGGGAAGCCGAGAGTCTCATCGATGCTGTTGGCCAACCGAATGGCCTCGAATTTCTCATCTTGGGAGGTTGCCTCGGTCGAGCGTAAGGAGTTGAATTGGACCGTTTTTGAGCGTCGAGGATTCGAGGATGCAGCACTAGATCTGAACTTGTTTCCATACTTGCTGGGCTTCCGTGGAGGCATTGCGACGCTTCGCCCGGCTGGGCTTGTTAAAAAGTACCTCTTTCAAAGGGAGGGACCAGAGTAGAACATGGAATGCGCACTGGGTAAATTTCAGATCAAACAAGAGAAGGAATAAAGTATAGATAGGCACAAAAAAAAAGATCTGGTTCTGGGGCTAATTGTGCCTCTAGGAGGGTCCAGCAATGGCTTACGATCTGCTCTAATCAAATCAATTTCGATGGTCCCGACGCGTTCGCGTACCGCCCACGCGCGTCCAAAGTGTTAGTCAGCCTTCCGGAATAACCAGCCACTTTGGGATAGCCTGGATTATCTATACTCCCGATATTGATGATCTTCAATAGCGGACGAAGACAGCTAGTGGACATCTAGAAGCAAGTCACTCTATCTATGGCGGAAGAGTCACGAGACCCCAGCTCTCTTTCGAAGGCTGGTAGCAACACACAAATACCAAATGACCTGGCCGATTCGCAAAAACCGAAATACAATCCGTCTCAGTCACAAACTGGAAAGCTATGGGATGCCTTCGGAAACCCCGAGGAACCGGCGAATGCGCTTGCCCGAGCAACCTATAAGCCCCGAGGCAAGGACCCTAAGGATGTTCCATACTCCGAGATCATTGGATCATTCCCGGTCTCCGAAATGACCACCCTTCACAAAAGACCGTGTGCACGAGAATCCTTGTTGACTGGCATTGGTGTCGGATTCGGAGTTGGTGGTCTACGGGGTGTGCTCAAAGGTATATCTACATTCTTTTGGTATTCGGATACCGGAATCATGGGGCTAATGTGTGCATGCAGGACGGTACTATCTATGGTCTGCTGGAAACTGGGCTGTCGGCATGTTTGCGATCAGTTCATTGGCCTCATATGAATACTGCCGCTGGCGACGAAATAACGAATTGAGTGGTATGGCAGAAGCGCTCGATCTCATGAACCAACTGAAGGCCAAGAAACAACGTGAGAAGGATACGGCAGTAGAGGAAGCGGCATTGCGCGCGCGTCTTGCTGAGGAGGAAAAGAAGAGCAAGAGTTGGACTAATCCCTCCAACTACAAATTCTGGTAATGCTGATGAGGCATGAAAAGGAGTCGTGGAGTTCATGAAGTGTTTCGAAAACTGTATATTCCGATCAATAGATCAAGATCAAGTAGTGATCGACGTCATGTCATAAGTCATCTCTGTGTATCATAGCTCTCTGCAAAGTTCATTCCAACTAATCATCGTTGGAGTCTCCCACTTGTCAGAGAGAAAAAAATGTAAACCGCCCATATGCCTGCCTTTCGAGAGGAAAACGCCGAAGTAAAGATATCCAAAATGTGTCTGCATATTGCGCAGCTCTGATTACCCCGCTAGAAATTGAACTTCACTCGCTTCTGAATTGCACCTTCGTTCATGCCGCGCAATTTGTCTAGCTCAACGCCATCCCTCCTCCTTTCGCGTCGTCTTTCACGAGCCTCCCGGGCTTCACGATTCTTCCATTCTGCCACTTGCTTTTGCCGCTTCTGTGATCTTTCCCACGCGATTGAAGCGGTGGGCTTGAAGCCTATACCGTTGATCCCATATCCATCATCCGTTGGGTCTGATGGATTGTGGCCTGTTATTTCCGAGTCATGCCATACAAGTGGGTCTTCTTCAGACGGAGTGTCCGTGAGAGGAGGGGATAGTCGTTGCTTGCGTTTAGATGGTGACGAGGGATTCAAGTTCTTCCGAGAGAAAGTGGCTGCCTTTTTCTTTGAGGGGGAATTGGGCAAAGAAGTCGGATCCTGTGTTGCGGGCAGCTCGAATCGCAGGGCTTGGCGGTCGCTGGGTTCGCTGCTAATGACCGGTAGGGCTTCAGGCATAATCTGGAGCTCGTGGCTGTCAGGCTCGCATGCTTTTTGAGGCGGTAGATCCAAAGATCCCTGCTGTGAGATGCCAGTCAAGGTTTCAGAGTCCGAAAGAAGGTCGCCACGGATGGCCAACTCTCCGAATCGTCCAGCCACTGTAGTGCGAGGACTGTAGCTTTCCAGCTCGTCCTCGTCCTGAAGTGGAACCTCTTGGAAACTGTCAATAGAGGTGGTCGATGTGGGTGATGAAGAGGGACTATAGCAATCTGATTCAGATGGCTCTCGTTTGCGCTTGGGAGAAAAAGATGAAGGTAAACCTGTCGGCATCATACTGAAAACGGACGTAGTGGGGACGTCACCGAGCAACCGGATGGATCTCATTTGTAAATAAATAGGGTATCCACCACCAAGTTGTTCTCAGGAAATGAAGCTATTCATTCTGCAGAGCCCGGAGGTCAGGGCTGAGAGGGGGTTTGGTCTTGGGCATTCGGCATTGAATCAGACTGTGGGGTACCTCCGTACAAGGATCGCCACCCGCGCATACAACATACATCCAGGGATTATGTATTTTTAGTCTCGGTTGTCCTGTTCTGCAAGGAATAAAAATAGCTTCCTTTGAGAGTAGAACCCCTACTGTCTGAAAACATGAACAACTTAAAACACTTAATTGAAAATATCAGAGCAGCGATAGTCAGAGCTGCTGAGGCAAAAAGGCCTGGTAATAATTTACAAATACCTGCAAGCCGTACCAATCGAGTCATGAAGACAAAATCAAAACCTAACGCCATGACGAAGACTCCCAAGTCAAACACATTGCGCATCTAGGCCTTTTGCTTCTTCTTGGAGGGCTCGGCATCCGTGTCGTGCTTGCGCTTCTTCTTCTTGTCGGACTCGCCCTCACCACCCACGGACTTTCTCTTCTCTTTCTTTTCCTTCTTCTCCTTCTTTTCTTTCTTCTCTTTCTTCTCCTTCTTCTCCACCTTAGCCTCAGCGACTTCGGCATCCTCCATTTCCGCATCGCTCTTGTCGGCATCGACATCGAGGTCAGCCAGCACGGCATCCATGGCGTTTTTCTGCAAAATATTAGCATTTACAGGTTCATTTGTTAGAGTAAATAGAGGCCAACATACCATGGCAACCTCGTTCTTAGTAGGGGCAGCGCCGGAGGAGTAGAATTCCAAGCGCTCCTCAACCTGGCTCTTCAGGGCCTCACCGAACTTGGTGTTAGGCGCCTCTGAGAAGTTGTCAATGCGGGAAGCAATTGAACACTTGTTGGCGAGGAAACGGGAGATTCTGCCCTTGTTCTTGGGGCCAGCGCGGGCGATGAAGGAAGAGTGGTACAGAAGACCATACTTGGGGGTATTTCCCTTGGTCTTCAAGGCACGGAAAAGAGCCTTCTCGGCACCAAGAATCTGAACGGTAGAGGCGGGGTACTTGGAGAGGTTGGTCAAGCTACCGGCGTGGGAGATCAGACGGGCGCCGACGATTTCACCGATCAGGGCGGCAAGGTTAGGAGCGACGACGCTCATCTTGGCAACAAGGTAAGCGTAAAGAGATTTGCGGTACTTGGCGAGCTTGACAACGCGCTCGGCGAAAGCAACAACATTCTCCATATCAGCCTCGGAGATCTCTTGGCCCATACTAGTCTTAGCAGCATCAATAATGCTCTGGGCAACAGCCTCGTCATCCTCAACAAGGGCGGCAATGTCGTGCAGACGTTCGTTGGTCAGGGCTTGCTTATCCTTGATGAAAAGGGCGAGCTCGGCGTAGCGCTGGTTGTCGGAGACAATCTTAACGAGCTCGGGGAAGTGCCACGAGTACCATTCGCGAACTCTCATGGAGAAGGTGTTGATGGCCTTATCGAGCTGATCCAGAATGGCGATAGCCTGGATGATGTGGTTATCGTCACGCTGGACGGAGAACTTTACCTTAGCGCGGGAGTAAGCGTGACCGAGACCGAGCTGGGCAGTGTCCATGTCACCATCGCGCAGCTGCTTGAGGAGCTTACCAGCGTGGAGACGAATACCACGAAGCATATCCTGGACGACCTCGCTGGTATCACCAGTCTCACATTCCACGAATGAGAAAGCGGACTTGATGCTTCCTGCCAAAGCCTTGTCGGCAAGACCCAGGATCACCTTCTTCTTCTTGTTCGGCTTGGGGAGGTTCAACTCAAGGAAAGAAACTAGAGTATCGGATGCGACACCTTCGGAGATGTCATTGATTTCTCCAAGAGCCTGCTTGTTGTTCCTAGAAATTGTTAGTGGGCGATAAAAAAATGAAAACCTTTTCGTTTAGACAGATAGAGCGTACTCGAAGGGCAAGAAGCTGGAAAGTTCGACCATCTTGCCGAACCTAGCAAGGTCATTGACACCCTCCTGAACTTCCTTCAAGGCATTGCCAACAGAATCACCCTGGTGGGTAACCTTGAAAAGCGAGTAACCCATAGGGCCCTCGAAAAGTAGGAAATCGGCCATCGTGTTAGCGCCAATACAAGGTCAATCACAAAACAATGATAAGAACTTGTAACACCGGCCAGAAAACCTCGCAAAGTGCAATTCGATGGGGTTGCTGGTGAGGTTGGCGACGGCTGGAAATGGACAATTTTTTTTCTCGCCGCTAGTGCGAATCCTAAGGCAGCGAACCGGAGGTATGACGGTAGGCCTCGGAGCGGACGTTTACCCGTCCCGCTGATATAACCACGTGATCATATCGATGCTCGAATGTGGGCTTTTTGGCCGCGGACCTAACGTGGAACAAGCTCTCTATCATCCCTTAATTTAATATTTTTGAGTTACTGGACGTGATACCCTGCCATTCATTACCTGGGAGATGTCTGCAACTCAACTACTTAACCCCAAGGCGGAGTCGAGGGTATGGAAAATATTCCCAGATGGCCCCTCAATGATATGCCCGCACACTAACATTTCACGCAGCGGAGAGGAGAGGCCTTGAAGGTAAACATCGGTGCCGGTGAAGGTCTTCAGGATGTCCTCAAGTCCAACCTGGGTCCTTCGGGAACTCTCAAGATGTGAGTTTTCTCCGAATACACCTGACATACAAAGGCAACGGAACTGACAAAACTTAGGCTGGTTGATGGTGCAGGCGCAGTACGAAACCCCCGATTCCTCTCGAACGACACCAAACATCCCTTTTCTGATACAAGCTTGCTATTA